TTTTTTATCTGCTGCGCCTAGGTGATGAATGGATGTTCAAGTACCTAAGGGAAAAGTGAAAAAGTGCCTACCTGCAAATATATGCAGCACATAAGTGTTGGGCACAACATAATTATGCTGCAACTGCAACTGCATGGGTAACCCTTCGGGGAATAAAAACTAAAGTTTTCAAATATTATTCAGAAATATGTAACCACTGCTATGTACTTTCACCTCACAAATCCACAATGATAATAAAAAGTTGTATTCGAGTTAAAAGACAGGAACAGTTTTTTTGTAACGGCATATAAACAAAATTTCAAGCATTTTGCCTAATGACAGACCGACAGAGTCGACATAATGCGACCGTTTATCTTATTTTGTGTCACAATTCGGTACATTTCTGTTATACATTACTTTTCCCTGACCGTAATGAGATTAATAGTCGGCAGTGAACATTCACGACATTATCTACTAAAATAAAATAAAAGAAAGTCGTAAAATATAAAAGAATTGGAACATAAAGCGGTGCTAACCTTATTGTAACTGTATTAAAATTAATTGTTATTTTATAGCTGATGTCAATTTATATACTCTACATCCGTCGCAATTAACATTGGAACCATTCAGCCTCATTTAGGTCTTACTGACAAACACGTAGTTCTTTGGTTTATTAACCTATGGCTTTTATCTTGTTTTCAAATCAAAAATTATCTGCAAAGTTAATGTTCATTTTAATTAACTAGCTCAAGTAATGACTTTGAAGTTTCACATATTTTACAAAGTCTAAAGAGGTTAAACAAATAGAATTATAAAGAGGGTGTGGCTTAGATTAGGGCAGCTAATTTGAATTTCAAAGAAGGGACTAGAGAGACACTTAATTGCTATTCCTTAAAATAGCTTCCAAGTTATTTTCTTTATTTTAGTAAGTAGGTATAAAAGGCATAAAAATAAGGTCGTGTTAGGAAATTTTAATTTAAAACTACCTTTTTACTGTTCTAGAGCAAAATATTTAATAACGGTCTCAAAATGGCTTACAATCGAACTGGTTATGGCAGTTTTTTTTTTTAATATCACGGTATTTTTTATAAATATCCATAAAGATCGTTGTATAATTTGTTCTATGATATCACTAAGATCACTATGGATGTCATAACGGGTCAGTTTCCGTAAAAAAGTTCGTACTGTAGTAAATCAATTCAAAACAAAAAATCGATTTGCTTGTCGTCGCGTAATCATTATTTTCTATCACACATGTAATAGTTCAGCCCAAAATGTTGGAAGGTTTTGAATAAATACTAGAACCTCGGTTATTTTAGCTATTAGCATGACCGCAACCTATTGTTCTATAATTGTGTCTACAAAACCGGTACTCGACGAGTTAAAAGGCTGTGGATCCGATTTATTTTAGAACCTTAATCAAATCTAAAGTACAAAAAGAAAAAACTCTAAATAAATACATTTTCCCAATCGCATCGTTATGAACGTTTTATAGATTGGTTGACATCGCTATAACAAATCCTACTCTCTACATCTTATCGTTTTAATTTTCGTTAAAGATCTTAGGCATCTTAGGTGTATAATACGATATCTTCTTTATGTGTTCTGTGGATACGATGATCTAGTGACCTATAGATATTTAGGTATAATAAATATATAGATAATCATATATATAGATATCATCAAAATAATTGAAACAAACCAAGCTGGATAAATCCGTCAGCCACAAAAACATTAATTTAGGCCTAATTTACAGTAATCGATAGCCGAGATCCTATTACACAAATAATTCGAATTACATTCGATTGTACTAGTTCGCGATCTCATCACAGTAAATTGATCATTATGTAGTAGGTACCACCTGACTAAAAAATGGATGCCGATGTCGACGAACTTCTACAAAATAATAATACAAGTAAATTATGAAGACCATTATCTTCTGACAAGTTATTACATTTCGTATTAACGTTGTGTTAAATTCATATTACAATAGTGTACGCACCTGACACGAGACGCCATCTTTGAATGTCGGAAGATGGAAATGAAATAGGCGTAGCGGCTAAGAAATAGATTATTACAATTTGTGTTCCCCGTTATGTTAGTTCTCATGATATAAGGAATGACAGCGCATGACCATAATTGAAAATTACCAACTTACTGCATTGTACCTACTTAATTTTTGGTTTGATTTGAAATTAAATGCATGAAAACATTATTACATGTTTAAGTGACCTTTTCAGCACTCGAAAGGCGAATCTAACAAATCATCCGTGCACCAAATCTTGATCTCACGCTCAATAAAAATTGCTTTCACTTAAATCGATAATTTTATCGATTTCATCAGTATCGTGTGTTGTGCCTATCACTGCCAAATGATTTTACGCCTTTGATGGGTTGTGAATTTGTGGCCTTTATACAATGTAGAGTAGGCCTCTTTGACAAACCAATTTAGGCATTAATTAGATTAATTTCCTACCTACACGCGCTCCCTGTAGTTATTCCTGTTTCACAATATAGACAGGTAGTAGGTACCTACTGGTTTATTAATTAATTACAATAATGTAGCGGTGTACCTACAAATAATTTCATTAGGAATGCCTTTGTAGAATATATACGGTCAATCTTACCATACCTACAGTTATAAACTTGTGGGTATTACTCTAAAATACAATAACTTTAAAAACGATAGACACATATCAAGTATAAATCAAACAAGGTAGACACAAACACATATTATGTACTTGTCTTGTTATAGTTTCTTTCAACTAAACTCTATTCTACAAATTACGTCAACAAAACAATTCGGTGGGTATTCTTTAATTCTTGTAATGACCCTTATTTTCACACGTGTGACGTTGAAGAGATGGTCGAGATCCCACAGACCACGGTCTCACATTCTTATACAGTTGTAATTGCCCACTAATTGTCAATTACGCAACATCACATAGCTGTTTATGTAATTGTTTTTGTTTGTGATAAACCCTGAGAGTTAGATAACTGTAAACAGAAGCACCAACGCACTTCAAATTGTCCCATCGTGTTGTAGGGACCTCTATCAATGCGTAAAAACATTAAATAGTAACATTATCATAGGACTCAACAGACAGACAGGTGCTTCTTTATGCTGGAGCTTTGTTCCCGGTTCGCGTGTAAAAATGTAAACGCTTTGGAAGAGAACCCTTCATTATTAAAACTAGAAATAGGAATAAATTGTTCTTCTTTATTATATAGCACGCATCTACGCTACAATTTTATTCTTTCCATCCTGTGTAATGTAGCATTAGCAAAACCATAATAATTTTTACATCGCTACAATTTAAATATTTTTATTTTCATAATTATATAATTATCACTTAAGTAGAGTTTTTTCACACGTTTTCTTGAAGACACATTTAGATGTGTCTTAAATAGCGTAGTAAGTAATGGCACGTAAAATGATACTGTCGACAGTGAGTAAAATTTTTGTATCGTCTACTTATCGTTTAACAGCTTTAAATTATACACAAGTCCTAAAGCTAGTATGCTACATAGCGACAAGAATCTTAAAGCTGCAGACATGGTAATTTTTGAGAAACTCTAGTGTGAATTACAATGATGACCTCTTAGTTATTATGACTCATTGAAGTTTATACATAGTGAAGGGCTTAATTGAGATTAGAATTAGACCCAACTAGAGAAAATTTGCAGTTTGAGGCAAATAGCATTTAAATTTCCATATTAAGGCAAACATAATTCATATTTAGATATATTAAACTTCTGCAAATAGGTCACCTCGATATATAGAGCAAAACTATCTAACGCCTAGAGTCGTGCACGCAACAGTGAAAGAAAAATACCACTCTACTTCTATTAAACAATTATCGAACAATGCATGACAGACGAAAGTAAGACTAAGTAGTATTTATCACAGCCAGAATCTCACGATACACTCGTAGATCACTGAGACCCAATTTTACTCTCCCGTATAAACAATTTAATTGTCTTTCGAACATTTCCTCTATCTAAATATACCATCGGAGATTGTTGACAAAGAGCGGAAATGTAACCGTATATTCCTAACAATATAAAAGGTATATGAGATTTTGCAGATTAATAGGAAGAATTAAGAATAAATCGTGTGTTAAACGCCTCGATGGCAAAGTACAATGGATAGCTTTTTCAAATATGGGTACTTAGCGTCCCTTTCAATATATCTCTGTCTAAGATTATGCTTAGACTCTCGGCTCGTTCAACGCCCTCAAAGATACGAGCCTTGTCCGGTAAGTTATTAGTGTCAGGGGTTAAAGGAAATATGTTAGGATTAAAACAGAGAGCCACCTTTTATTTTTAAATTTATCTGTGACTTGCTATTAAAATCTTGGTAAATTATACCAGGAAATTGAAATTTTTCTTAACCTTTAAAAAGGAAGGAAACCAACAGTCAATAGTGGACTATTATCCTACATTTATTTATAATTTTCAAGTATCAAAAACTTCAATTTTGTAAATTGTGTATTGTCTCAAATTGCTTTCATATCCGCCGCTGTAACCGCGATATTGACCGCAAATTGTCGATCAACCCGGCTAGACACACTAGTGGCGCTGCAGATCTAGTCCGTCTAGTAGTCGCGAACACCTTCGTATTTTATTATTAGATCGTTGTACTTAGATACTTACAGGTTCCATGAACTTTACTTTATTGCGTAATGAAAATAGGCCTGGCTATGATATAACTTTAAGATGATGCGCGTTCAAGGAGTAAGGACCTTATGAAATAACTTCTTCTATAACACTACACTACACCGACACAGACTTCGTTTTTTTATCATTATTCCCCAACTACCTCTATAAAAACAATAAGTTCCTATTGAAGGGATATAATCATAAACATCCATAATAGGTATCTACTAAGCAGTCTTAGCTCATTGCGTGTTTCTGTACATTACACAACATCTCATTATATCCTTAGGGAAATATCATAGTCCTAAATAACGGACCACAATGCCATAAATTTTTGCTTTATTTTCTTTTCCACTTTTCAGGGCGCGCCAAGATGTGGCGTGCAATACTACTGATGTGGCTGGTGTCACCGAATCTGTGCCAACAGATCCAGCCAAACAGAGTATTCAGCGTGTCTACTATCTGCGACAAGACATCCATGACAATCCACTTAGAGATGGCACAACCCTTTAAAGGACTTGTCTTTAGTAAAGATTTCTCGAGAGAATGTCGAGTTCAAGGTAAGATGCTACATATTGTAATAATTTCCTTATTTGACCCCAAACAGTCCTCTCAGAGGCATTCATAATTTTAAATTAGATCAAATCTAAAGTGGGAAATCTAAAGTTGAAGTTGAAGAAGTTGTTTTTGATATAAAACACAATAAACGTTCATGCAACAATAAACAAAGTTAGAGTTCTAATCTGCACGTTCTAAATTTCAGGGAGCCATCAGAATAAAATCACACTAAATCTGCCATCGAACGCGTGCGGCGTGAGGACATCGACCATGAACACCACAGTGGAAGAGCCTGATGATGATGAAGATTTATACTACAACGTCGAGTTGGTTGTACAGATGGATAGGCAACTGCAGCAATCATCTGACCAGGAGCTGTTAGTCAGGTGAGAAAATAAAAACTGATCTATGTAATTTATTAATATTGGCGAAGTTACCTACCTATTAAATTATTGTTAAATAAATATTTATTATCATGATAATGTTCATCAATTAGGATTAGTAAGAACCTACTTAGTTACTTATAAGCTTTGTGTCAACAGAACATAAGGCAAAAATAATAAAAAACAAGATATTCTAGCGTTATTAAAAATAGAAATGGTAAGTAGTCTAGTTTATTATCTAATGCTAATTATTGTGGGAAAACATTAGCAAAGGATCATGTACCTACGTAAAGGTGGAAAAAATCTTACGTAACCAGATTCAACGATAAATTCAAGTCTTAGAAGCAAGGTGCAAGACCATTAAAAATCTAGTTCCATGCGGAATGCGTCAAGTGCTAGGTGGACATAAAAAATAATGCAACTTCTGATAACGTCTCCAGGATTTCGCAGAACGTTGCATAAAAGCTCGATAGGTTTGATGTAAAGTGAGCTAACTCTGTGAAATTATGCAAACAAATGCGTAGATAATGCTAAAATGTACAAAATAAATACTTTTATGGGGTGTTACTTGAACTTAGGTGAATGGAATCAAAATCAGTTAGAATTCTCTGTTTTTAGTGTCCATGTGATATGTTGACCTTAAATACCTACTTAAGATTATACAAAAAAAAATCACATCATTAGATAGTTTCGATCTATCTACCTATGTATGACCTATCTAATGATCAATGCATCCTTCGAATTCAAGGTGAAAACTACTTATTTAGATACCAGTTAACTATTCTTAGATCCATAATCAAAATTACATGACAGAAACACTTTACATTAATATTTTGTGATGAATTTCAGATGTAAATTACAACCTCGGGCGGTTCGCATCAACAGCTCTGCATTAGAGACGGTAATCAACAATAAATTACGCGAAATGACTACCAGGGAGGCGAAGAAAACAAGGTAAACTTAGACTACTATGTATTAGAATGCTAGTGTGTTGCCAAGTTAGCTTAGTGTAAATTGAACAGGTCATCACACGAATATTAGTTCAAAGCAACGATGTTTTTAACTGTTTTTCTATTACATTATCGGCTATGGGTAGGTTACTTTTGATTGTAATAATAATACTTTTGATTCTAGTAGAAGTAATTCAATTACTCGATTTAATAAATAGGAGAGAAATCTACCTACTTTACATTTCGTGATTTTCAGTTTATATTATCATGGCTAATGACACTAACAACATTATAGGTATGTTACTTAGGTAGCTAACGAAAAGTTGAATAACTTTTTTCAGTAAAAACACTCCTAATATTTTTCTTGCCAAACGGTATTTGAATGGAATTTTCCTATTATAGAACTGGCCGCAACCGTCAAGGTTTCGCGAATGCAGCAGAAATAGAGCAACGTGAATGGCTGATGGCGGCAGCGCGTGCTTGGATGGAGTTAGCACCAGCGGTGTCTGCTGCTGAGCCTGCCACTGTCGAAGTCGGACAGCCCACCAGACTACTTATACAATGCACATTGCCTGGTAAGTGTGAGAGAACTTCAAAAAAAAATAGGATTGTCGAAGTGCGAAGCTTGAGAATAAACCAACAAACTACTTTGTTGGTTAATTCTCAAGCTTGTTGTTGTTCCCAACCATCAATAAATTGATTGATGACTCTATTTTAACGAAAGATAGGTTTATCCCTAAATTACCTAAAACAGGTTGCAACTGAAACGGGCCTGTAGAAGTTGCAAAACATTTACTTAGGTAGTATTTACGGGAACAAATAACCGACCCCGATGATGTACCTAAGTAAATCTGATTACCCACTGAATGAAAAAATTACTTAGTATTCAAATAAATAAATTATGCTAGCGTTATAATGATAGATAACGGAAGACGCCCATTAAACTAAGCTAACATGACTGATGATACCAGTGTAAAGGTAAGCGCCTTGAATACAGGTTGAGCAATCGCGGTTTGACTACGAGTGTATGACATGGTTCAGTAAATTTAAATATTATTATGTTTTTATAATTTGCTTAATTTTTATTTAATTTTAACTCAGTTTTTGTGGCTTAACAAATATTCTGAATATACAGCACAAATAGGTATCTACGTAAGAAACAAATTATCGCATTATTTTGAAAAGTTCAGTTTTAATGGGATAATAACCTATGTAGTTTATCAATAACTCAACAACTCTTATTCTTATCCTCTGACTCAATGGATGTTCTCATAATTCAATTGAAAAATTATACGCTGACTAAGCGTACTTATTACTCAATGTCTATCCTTATTCCACAGTGGGAGTGGGACTCCGAGTAACAAATTGCGTCGCTCACGATGGCCTAGGAGAAGCATCGCAGAAATTACTTGACGACGCTGGCTGTCCTATCGATGAATCTATCTTCAATAAACCATCGATCCACCACCATAAACACAAAAGCACAGAAATTGACTTTTCTGACCTAGAACCCGTTGATCTACAGAAGAATATTGACGAGAAAACAACAATTAAACTAGAAAAATCCGACCCCGATAATATGTTCAAGAATATTATGACTTATCAACACGCAATCACTACTTTTGCAGCTTTCAAATTTCCCGATAGAGCTAAGTTACATTTAACTTGTGGAATTGAGCTGTGCAAAGGGCAATGCCCACCTGTGGACTGCAAAGCTTTGCAGAAACCCCAACAGACCAGAGATGGACTGCTCAGGAAGGCTCGATTGGATAAGGATTCTAAGGGTATCGTAATAGATAGACTAGAAGTTTATAACAGCATAGAGGTTCATGCACCTAATATTGAATTAGAAGATGAAGCTTCCATTAGAGGTAGGTTTTTAGAAGATGTTTCATAAAGCGATCACAAACAAAGGTGATTTCAAGTCCCATATGACCACAATCTTCTTATTTGTTACAGGGTCAAGAAGAATAGAATCAGAAGAAGACGAATTTGTGCGAGGATTTTCACCGGGGGACAAGACAATTTGCTTATCGCCAGGGAAAATGGCGCTAGCGTTCTGCGTCCTTGGAATCATTTTCCTCTGCGCAATCGCTGTGGCCTTCATCTCCTTGGTGCGAACTAGACGGCGTCTTGGAAGAGAGCCGTTGCACACATCTCTATCTTTCTACACAGGAAGCAAGAGCATGTTTTCGTCAAGCGAGAGTTCCAGTTCTGGTCTTAGTGGTAGCAAACTTCTTTTAACTGATAGTCCCTATTTAGACCACCATTCGTCTTCCAGCAATAATTGGCCATATTCTAGAGCTTTCTGACAAGCGGCTCGTCGGCGTGACGTGGGTTTACGCGAGTTTTAATAGAGCGAGATGAATCTCGCTTTTCTCTCAAAGTCAGTAGAGGTTTATGTATTGGCAAAAAACTAAGCTTCTCATATTGAAGCAAAAAATACATTTTATACAGGTGTGTATCTCTATAAGCACCCACTTAGACTTATATTATTTTTTCATCTATGGGTTGTATTTCTAATTATGACTTTGACTGCCAATAAAAAACTGTTGAAGGTAAATTATCCGCTAACGCCGGTCACCGGTGACCCCCATGGCGTTTAACGTGTTAAAAGAAAATCTGATAAATTGTCAAAATTAATTAAAAAAAAATTCCTAATAGGTATTTAGTGACTGATGTAAAAATGAAACTTTCAGACCAAGTAACAGTTTATCTAGATAAAAAGGTTGATAAAAAATATTTAATTATATTCTTCATCTATTTACTTGTACTATCTGGTGACAGTAGTGGTCACATCTTGAGCTCACAAAAAAGAGGCTTTCATTTTTTTTACAATTGCAACAAGAAATTGTTTGCCATTGCAAAAAATATTTCAATAACTAAGTACTTCCTTTTCAATAAATTTAAACTGAAGACTGTACTTAAAAGTACCTCCCAAAGCTTGTCTATTTCTAGCTTCTTAGTTAGTAAGAGACTATTTATTTTTAATTTGGTTTTTCGACTTATTGTCGTTTGAGGCGGTGCTTCTGATGTCATTCTGTAGTAGATGCAGGGGTAAAATAACATTCAGGTCAATTTTGCTTTGTTTGTTTTCTCTTAGTTTGTTATAAATTCTAAATTCATCTTTAATTTGGAAAAACCCTGTACACAAAGTTCTTACGCTGTATAACTATGTGTTTAAAACAAAACACAATTCTTATTACACAGGATTGAGACCATCTTTTGTTTTCTGTCAATTCATACGTTGATTGAAATGTTAATGATGATCTTATGTAGTTTTTAGTTAAATAGATATAAAATATCTTATGCTATCTTATTTTTACATTTACACCTGTATTGAAATAAAATCATTAGCACTTCCTCGAAAATTAGTAAATAAGAAACCTAGATATAATCAATTAATTTAAGAACATTCAAATTAAAGAATGTATTATTTGTGATGTGATGATAATATTTATGTTTATCATGGATGTTTGGATGGAAATTTTATATGTTTTTACAATTTGTATTAAAACAGTAAATGGAAGTGAAGCTATGTTTTATTTTTTCACGTAGTGTGACTTGACCTTTCTATTGATACGCATCTATTTTGTTTGAAACAATATCTGCAACTACACTCATAGTCAAAAGTAGGTATCAATAGATTGGTAGTAGATTCTCTAAAAAGGTTATAGTATCTAATATACAAATATTAAATAATATGAATGCACTTACTTTCACAAAATGATTAAGACCCTACTTAAAAAGAAAAGCTAAATATTAACGATAGACACAACCACTTACCACAACGCCCAAATAAAACTACTATTTTGAATTCCCGCGTTTTTCAATCTGACTGACAGATAACATAATGACTGTAGTGTGACACTAAGAATCCATAGAATAATCGACTAAACCACTTTTCTTTTTTTAAGTATGCATTTTTATATTCTTATTGTTTTATTTGAAAGTTGCTACTCGATACCTATCCAAAATCGCGAACAAAACTTGTAAACCTTCCTTCATTTCGACTCAAGTAGAACTTAATTTCAGAACATTTTTGGTCTATTACAATAGTGATGGGCAAGGGACTTACTATTTAATAAAATAATTTATATGTTTCGTGGATAGATATGAAAATATTTTATTAAAAGTAAAATCCTCATAACCGTTACAAAAGCGAAAACACAATTAATAGTTTGGATTTTTGAAACCATAGACAAAAAGGGAGACGGGCGAAATGGAAATGGACGTCACTTGATAAACTTGTAGATGATGTCATTTAGACAAACTGCCAAAGAATAAAGTTATCGGACGGACAGACAGGACAAATTTTCGACTGTGCCTGAAAATGTATATAATGCCTATCCAAAAGAAACTTATTTGAGAAAAATTCATTATCATTTGGTTCGTTGCTATGATAATAATTAGTAAGGTCTTTTGTTTGTAAATTTATTTATTTATTTGTATTTCACAACGTCCATATAATAAGAAGTATTGCATACAATTCATTCCTGTTAGGCCGCAGCAATTTAAAACGTTACAAAATTTAATGTTAGCTGAAATTTATAATTATTTCTTAGAGCTGTAACTATACCTATATATTAACTGTTCTATCGTTTTTTTATCATCTCATTTTTTTAAATCTTTACTTAAGAGATTTAATCACATAGTAATAATGTCATTATAAAAATTATTTTTTTAACTTGAAAATACACCTAATTAGTTTTGTTCATTCATTCCACGAACGGACGAAATATACATAATGATTCTAAAACAATTTTTGACATTTGGATTGTCTTTTGACAATTCTTTTACTTTCCTGAGGAATGTTTAATTAAAAATTTAAAATGAACACTACAGAATATGGGTAGGCATAATATTTTTAATAATGATACTTTTTTATATTTGACATGTCTGTTGTGCATATTTTTATAATCTATGTGATGAGCGGCGCGAAGGTGGATGCTTTCGCGGTCGGTCTTTCGCTTCGCCTTCGATGCCGTGTTCGTACTCGCAGTCACGGATGATATTCCAACGAATTCTACATGAATAGCGATTATTTATAAATTTCAAGTCATAAGTGTTATGTTATCTATTCTGCAAGTAGATTTGAAGACTGATTTTAAAGTGTTTGTGCTGTGGATTTGAATTGGGTACGATTGGCTACGGTCCCGCATCCAAAGTGAAATATTTTGTGTGTGCCGACGATTTATGTGTATAACCCGGCTAAAAAAGCATTTCTGGACCTATAAAAGAAGGTATGTAAAATATTTATTTCATAAAACTGATAAGATTCTGTTTTGAAAGTGGAGGTCGATGTCATCACAAGCCCGAATTTTGGATTAGTCTGTGCACTTTGCTCTTTATTTTTGTAGTTAGTACCTACTTTACTTTCTATACCTACCCAAACTATGCAGTGCAGACGATTGATTGATAATAAATGTAGAAGACTTTTAATTTGAAGATTTGGGTCTTGGTGCCTTTCTCTAATTGCTTTCAATTGGCTTAAGTAGTACTTCGTTCCCGGTATCTCGTTTCATTTGGGTAACGCCTTGAATGAGTCGCCGCCTGTGCCCGCCAAGCCAAAGCCGCTAGAGTAAGTACCTACCTACCTACCTACTTAAAGGAAAGGCCACTTCAAATCAAACAATTGTCTTAGGAATGATACAAGACTTGAATCAAACATCAATATTATTTTTAATTCTAATTAGATTTCCTGAAATTCTCATGCCTACTATTGTTCCATTATCAACATCTTTCTCTAGAATTTATGTATGTATTCCAATTTTTGTTGATGATGACAGAAAAAAAATCTTTGGTTTAATAAGGTATTTGAAAAAACTCTCTTTTTGTTTTTATCATTTAAAATTTAAATGTTCTAAACGTAGCTTGGCAGGTACATCTATATCTTATCTAAATGAAGTCTATAGATTTTGTAGATGTATTAAAGTAGTTTTGGTATAATTATTGTTCTTTGCATTTTTATAATGGAAAATAAAAAAAACTTCAATTACCTTGAACAAGTACTTATGTGATATGTAAGACTTGTGATTTAAAGAAAAAGACTGGTCAAACCATTTGAACTTGTACTTGTATTACTGAATACAGTGTAGTATAAAAATTAAATAAGAATTAGAAATTGTAACTGAAAATATTGTAAAGTTAGTAATGTAAAAGTTACACAATTTTTTTCACATAGAATATAGTAAGATTGATGAACTCTAAATGCCCACTTGTATTTTGGTTAATCAAGTAACAAGCACTGTACTCAATTTTTCCATCTCAAAATCCAAAATTCCAACATTTACCCAATAAAAAAAATAGTTTCATAGATTGATTGACTAAAGTAAAAACAAGATGGTCTTGTACATGCTTAAACTGTCAAAGACCAAGCGGTCACCGGTGACCGCAACCTATTGTTCTATAATTGTGTCTACAAAACCGGTACTCGACGAGTTAATCAAAGTCACCTCAAAACTTTGAAGTTATTTATTATTAACTGGAGCCAACTTTAAACAATTATATAATAAATACTTACTAGTTACATAATTAAAGCAGTTATTATAAAATCGTTAAGTAAACAGGTGTAGTCTCGGAGTAATTATTTATCTTGCTACAGCCATAATGTTATCAGCATAGCGGTGCAACTAGGGCGTGACTTTGCGTTACAATGCATTGAAACACTTCTTGATTGAGGATTCTATGTTTTTGTAAGATTGCTCCTCATTGTGATTGATTTTCTCTTTGACACAGGTGTAATTGAAAATAATGTTGCATAATTCTGGTTATTATATTGCATGGCGTCTCAGGTCAATTATATTGTCAATTTACAGATGCATCTCTATCAAATGGATCTTTAGATATTTTATTTATAGAACTGAAGGTGTTAAAATATTAATTTCAAGAAACAACAAATTGCACAATAGGCTGAGATGTAAAATAAACAAATTAACTATTTCTGATACATGTGACACACTGTAAGATTGATGATGACTGTTGATGATGCAAAAGAGGTATGTAGGAATCGTAGTAATTGGCGTTCCCTAGTCTCTGCCTACCCCCATGGGAGACAGGCGTGAAGGCGTATACGTATGTAACACACTGATTTGTTGAATCATGCAAATGCAGCATAATTACTATTCAACTGTGACTAATTTCTTCAATAATCTTTGGTTAAATCGTTTTTTTTATTAGAACTTGGCATTTTCCTTCTTCTATCTGTAACCTATAACATAAACTAAAGTAAAAACCTTCATAAAGCTGACAGTGTTGCTCATTAAGATTGTATATTTGTAAGCAATAGGTATTAGTTTAAAGTAAGCATCCATTGTGTGATTTTCAAGGTCATAAAGAGCAATTATAGGTGTATGCTAAGATTGCTAAGTAAATATTACCTTGTAATTCATTGCTCATCATGTGCAAAAATACTAAACAGCATTTTTAATCACATGAGCTCAGTTGTTTGTGAGCGTAGGATGCGAGGTATGAAGAGTCTGTTCTATGAAGGGAGCAATATGCCTTAGGTTATGTGTGATTCAACAGGACATCAAAGCTTTGCCTTTGGTTGCTTAAAAGGAACATCTTTTTCTGTGATCCTTTCTTATTTATGATAGTCTCATTCAAATAGCAAATTATTTAGGTAGCTTATGAATATGCATCTCGAAAATGTCATTGTGAAAGTGGGAAGGAAAATACCTTGAGAAATCCGAGTTCAGTTACTGATGGTATTGTCTGGTACTGAGAGTAAATTCTATTTAAAATATTCTTTTCATATTCATAACAAAAATGTTCAAATTTGCCCTATTTTTGGTACTAACAGAGTTAATTAGAATTTTAAATTTTATGTTTCTTTTTACCCGACTATGGTAAAGCAAAAAGTAAATAAATAAGCATTTTTATTACCTCTATATAATAATATTAACACAATCTGAATACACTTTGTACAAAATTTTTAGAATGTAAAATAATCATAATATATTGTAACACAACATGTTCGATAAACAAACAATCAACTGATAGTTTGATACATCTGTTGTGAAATGTCTGTCCTTGCAGCCAGATGCCTCATGTAAAGTGCATTTATGTGTTAGTGGAACTTTTATAACATGATCCAGTTGGTTAGTTAGATGATATCTTAAATGTGGATTATAAAGAGGCATTAACATGTTAAACACTATTTAAATAATGACGGCAACATATGGGCCATATTCGTTGAAGATTTAACTATCTACAATCCTTTTCTGTTAGAAGTCCTTAGTCTTAATGTTCTTAAAACCTTAGCAATACTTTGCGCGGCCCGGCAATCGAACTTATGCTCGATCGTCCCATTTGTGACCTCTTCAAACTCCAAGGAGGCAGTTCAATCATAAGTAATTACCTAAATCATAAAAAACGGGATTATTAAATTAAAAACATATACGCATGCCTCAGCCGCTTATCCAGTTTCTAATGTTGATATCCGAGTTTTCATACAAAACGTGACTGCACCAGCTTTCAATAAAGGCACGTCGTTTAACTCCTCAGTTACATCAGCATCAACATTGTAGTAATATTGTATCACAAAATGTTACAATGCCATTCACATCGCTTGTGTGAGATATATACCCGTTTTCAATGTAAACTTGTATTGACATTTTTTGGCTTCTCAAATGCACTCTGCATGAATGGGCTATTGTATGATTAAACGAAAAAAAAACCGTACCTAATAACTCAGATAAATTAGTTAGGTCGATTTGGTTTCATTGAATATTTACTCAGCAAACATGAATAAATGGTAAACAGTCCTATATAATAATTTTAGCCGAAAATAAAAATTCGTAGGCCAGTAGCACTGTATTGATTAAGTAACTTGTCCCGGATATCTGAGTTGTCATCAAAACACGATGGTTCAAGTGCATTAATTTCTTATTCTACCTAATTAATCTCTATTTTCCTCGCCTGCAAATCCGTCCCTTAATTTCTATAAGAAGTTTCCTGTGTTGGCATCTACAGGGGGTAACGGGGTTTGCGTGGCGCGTCCCACAAGGTCGGTCTGCCTCATTCAGAGAGGGAGGGGTGATCCAGTGTTTCCATCTTTTTGACACAGATTCACCCGCAAACATGTTTAAGAAAAATTACTGAATTTTCTTGTCCGCACCAAAACTATAATCCAATAAGATTAGATAATTCAAAATGTTTTCAGTTTTGTAAATTGACAGCAATTATAAAAAATTCGCGCTTTAAGAAAGTATTTGCCTTTATAAAAAGTCAATTTGATTCCCCGTTATAAATGCTGTATTACACAGGGGTGGTGAACTAGAGGGGTGGGGCGTGCGTGCACTAGGGATATACGGCCCGCCGGCGCCAGGAGTTGGATCGATATTCCGGCCCACAGCTCACTCCGACGAGTTTGAGTCGCGACGCGCTTGTGTGCTGTGCCGTTCCCAAGTTCTGTGCTCGTGTGTTCGTACTTTGAGAGATTTATAGAACAAGTGTTGTGAATTTGTACGTTTAGATTAACGTTCGGAGATGAGATAGTCCTCACTACTTATTGGTATGTGTATTTGCAAATTTAATGAATGAGGCCACCGTTCCATTTAGGGTTACAGGTTTCCGGTGTTTAGTGTCTGTGATACTTGTTGGTAGATCAATAGTGCGTTTCACCTACTGATGTCACCAGTGTTTGAGGATATTGGTTCACAACATGATTAAAACACATTTCCAGCTTAATCTGCAAACATCACTGTCCATTTTTTATCGGCAACACGAAAAAATGTGTATCGATAACCGATTAAAATTTCTGTAAGAGAATAATAGGTGGTATGATCACGAAATATGTGTTTCTTACGTTAAATATGTGTTAAAGACAGTAGAATGCTAGCTAATGTTTCGAACATTTGTCTTCAATTAGAAAATTTGTCTCAAAATTCTATAATACCCATTTAAAACTGCATGTGAACAACCAAACTAATTATCATTCTAGGTTATGACTAGATAAGCAAAATTGGTTATCCGCTTGATAAAATTTCTTGACCTATTTAGTTGTTAGATCGTCTGGGGAGAGCGAATACTTGGTTGGCTACAATAAAGTCTCCCACAGTGCGCCAATTAGCGGTTCAACCTTTTGACCTGTGTCTTGATGCATACATTTGAGACGTTGATGTCGTTTTATCTAGACGAGGACTCCAGACGGAATTCACCGGGTGCGTTCAGAAATCTGTCGTTATTTGCAGAGCGGTTGCGCCCCGCCCCCTGCCGTCATCGAGGTCAGTCGCGCAGA